CGCAGCTCGTCTCCAGCTTCGGAGGAGCTTTGGCTCTGACTTCCCTGTTTTGCGTCTGCACTCGGACAGAGGCGGAGAGTTCTCCTCTGGCCTCCTGAGTGCCTACTGTCGTGCGCGAGGCATCCGTCAGACCTTCACGCTTCCGGACTCACCACAGCAGAATGGGATTGCTGAGCGCCGCATTGGCATGGTCATGGACGTCGCTCGTACGTCCATGATGCATGCGGCTGCTCCCCATTTTCTATGGCCGTTTGCGGTCAGGTACGCTGCGCACCAGATCAACCTCCACCCCAGGGTCTCTCGACCGGAGACCTCCCCAGCCCTGCTGTGGATGGGGAAGGTTGGCGATGCGTCGGCGTTCCGGGTCTGGGGATCTCGGGCGTTTGTTCGCGACCTGTCTGCGGACAAGCTGTCCCCTCGTGCTTCTCCCTGCGTCTTCCTGGGGTTCCCCCCCGACGCCCCTGGGTGGCAGTTTTACCACCCCACCTTTCGACGTGTTCTGTCCTCCCAGGACGTCACGTTCGACGAGTCGGTACCCTACTACCGCCTCTTCCCCTACCGCACTCCGTCCCTCCCCCCACCCCCGCTCTTCTTGGTACCAGGTCCCCCCCCGGTAGTCCCCCTCCCCCCTCAGGGTCCTGCCCCTTCAGGTGTGTCCCAGGTAGACGCGGTCGAGCCTGTCGAGGTCACTGGTGACTCTGGTGCTGCTGCGGGAGCTGAGCCTGGGGGTGCGGAGTCTGGGGGTGCTGAGCCTGGGGGTGCTGAGCCTGGGGGTGCTGTGCCTGGGGGTGCTGAGCCTGGAGGTGCCGAGCCTGGGGGTGCTGTGCCTGGGGGTGCTGTGCCTAGGGGTGCTGAGCCTGGGGGTGCTGCGCCTGGGGGTGCTGTGCCTGGGGGTGCTGAGCCTGGAGGTGCCGAGCCTGGGGGTGCTGTGCCTGGGGGTGCTGTGCCTAGGGGTGCTGAGCCTGGGGGTGCTGAGCATGGGGGTGCTGTGCCTGGGGGTGCTTCGTCTCGCCGGGAGCCACTCTCCCCACAGGAGCTGCGTGAGTGGTTTGCCAGGCGCTGGAGGCGTGCTGCTGGTGCTGGTAGTTCTTCGGCTGCAGAGGGTACTGCTGCCGCGCGTCCCGCCGGTGCTCGTCCTGTGGGTGCTGGAGCTGCTGGGTCTGAGAGTTCTCCTGGAGCTGGTACTGCTGAGGGTGTTGGCGCTGAGCCTGCCGTTGGCGGTCCGACTGACAGTGCTCCTGGTGCTGCTGCTGGAGGTTCTGGAGCTTCTGGTGGTGCTGCTGGAGGTGCTGCTGGAGTGGGTGCTCCTGCCGGGGCTGTTGGTGCTGTTCCTGCTGTTTCTAGCGTCGCCGCGCGGCCCCGACCGTACTTCGTTCCGCTCCTTCAGCAGGTTCTTGGTCTTACACCTCCTCCTCCTCCCTTAGAGGGTCCGCAGCCTGTCCGGTCGCAGCCACAGCTACAGCCTGCCTCCCCTTTGCCTGCTCCTTCTCCCTACGCTGGTCCGACTGGAGGTCTTACTGAGCGTCGTGAGCCTGCGTCTCGTCCTGTGTCGCCTGTTCGTACTGAGCGCGCTAGTGGTCGCCGGTCGCGTCAGCGTCCTCCTCCTGTCCCTGGCACGCACCGGATGTCACTGCGTCCGTCCACTGCTCCTCTGCGTGCCCCTTTGCCTTCTCCTCCTGCTTCCTCTCTTCCTGCTCTTGCCGACCCGGAGTCGGACTCTCTTCGTGCTGCCAGTCCTACTGTCACGCGTCTCCTTGCTACTGCTGTCACTGACCCTTCCTTCGAGTCGTCTGCTGCGTCTGCCCTTGTCACTGAGCTTGTCGACTTTGCTGCGCGCTGTCGTCTAGACTACGCTGCTCGTCTTGTCGCTGAGTCTGAGTCCGCCTGTCCTCCGTCCGTCCGGGGTGAGTGTGCCCTTGGCACGGACGTCCTTGAGGACAGACAGGAGGAGTTCCAGTGTCTGGCCGCCGCTTCACCTCGTCTCGCGTCTGTACTGCTAGCCCCCTGAGGGAGACCCGGATGCACCAGACATCCCGACTCCGCGCTCTTACGCGGAGGCGATAGAGGGTCCCTACTCCTCTCAGTGGCAGGCAGCTATGGATGCAGAGATGGCTTCCTGGAAGTCCACAGGCACCTACGTTGACGCTGTTCCCCCTCCTGGGGCGAACATCGTCAGTGGCATGTGGATTTTCAGGGTGAAGCGACCGCCGGGTTCTCCGCCTGTCTTCAAGGCGCGTTACGTGGCTCGTGGCTTCAGTCAGCGGCAGGGGGTTGACTACTTTCAGACCTTCTCCCCCACCCCGAAGATGACCACTCTTCGGGTTCTGCTGCACGTTGCTGCTCACCGTGACTTCGAGCTGCACTCTCTCGACTTCAGCACAGCTTTCTTGCAGGGCAGCCTGCACGAGGAGATCTGGCTGCGTCGCCCACCTGGCTTCACTGGGTCTTTCCCTCCTGGTACCCAGTGGAGTCTCCGGCGTCCAGTCTACGGTCTCCGCCAGGCGCCACGTGAGTGGCACGACACACTGAGGACTACGCTCGCGGCACTTGGGTTTGCTCCTTCTACTGCCGACCCGTCGCTGTTTCTGCGCACCGACACCTCTCTGCCGCCGTTCTACATCCTCGTGTACGTCGACGACTTGGTCTTTGCCACAGCTGACACTGGTGGACTCGCCTACGTGTAGTCCGAGCTGCAGAAGAGACACACGTGCACTGACCTGGGTGAACTGCGCAGCTACCTTGGCTTGCAGATCACCCGGGACAGAGCACGCCGCACCATTACCCTGACTCAGTCACACATGGTGCAGCAGGTCCTTCAGCGCTTCGGCTTCACGTACTCCTCGCCTCAGGCCACTCCTCTGCCTACTCGCCACTTGCTCTCAGCTCTGCCTTCGGATGAGTCCGTAGAGTCGAGTGGCCCGTTTGCAGAGCTTGTTGGCTGCCTCATGTACCTGATGACCTGCACACGACCTGACCTCGCATACCCTCTTAGCATTCTCGCACGCTTTGTTGCTCCTGGGAGACACCGACCAGAGCACATGGCTGCAGCGTAGAGGGTGTTGCGCTACTTGTGCAGTACGTCGGGCATGGGGCTAGTGCTTGGAGGGCGCAGTCCAGTGGTCCTCACTGGGCACGCAGACGCTTCTTGGGCTGACGACCAGGCTACGCAGCGGTCGTCACAGGGTTACACCTTCAGCCTTGGTTCCGGCTCTGTCTCGTGGCGGGCTACCCGCTCGTCTTCTGTTCTCGGCTCCAGTTGTGAGGCTGAGATCTACGCTGGGGCTATGGCTGCACAGGAGTTACGCTGGCTCACCTACCTGCTGACCGACCTTGGAGAGCAGCCTCGTTCTCCTCCAGTCCTGTACGTAGACAACAAGGCCATGCTGGCCTTGTGTCGAGAGCAGCGACTGGAGCACAGAACGAAGCACATTGCTCTCCGCTACTTTCTTGCTCGTGAGCTACAGCAGCGTGGACAGTTGCGACTTGCGTACGTGGCCTCTGAGGCCAACACTGCTGATGTCTTCACCAAGGCACTTGCGCCTTGTGATCATCAGCGTTGTTGCACGCAGTTGGGTCTTGTGCCTGTCTTGCCTCACTTGCTCTCCTCTTGACCTTGTTTGTACCTTCGCCTATATATACTCTTGCTCTTGCTTGCTTGACTCTTGTATATCTCTATATATGATCTTGCATGTGAACTGGCCTTCTGGCCTTTGAACTTGTGCTCGGAATGCGTGGTGACTTTGTGATCCACCCTGAGCTTTGCTTTGCTTTGCTTGACTGGTCTTGTGACCCCTTGTTCTCCCCCACTTTGCCTATGGGGGTGTGTCAGAACATATAGCTTACTTGTTTCTGTAGGCTACAGTGGGGTATCCCATAGGGGGTACAACACAATTAGGGTTTCCTATTTGTATTCACTTCACTTCACAACCCTATTCACTTCACTTTCTCAGTTTCTTCGGCTGTGATTGATTTTGTCAAACATTATATATATGTTGTGTTAGTTTAGGCTACAGTGGGTTAGCCTATAGGGGGTACACAATTCTAGGGTTAGGTACTTGTACTGTTTTCACTGCTAGTTCATTCATTCCTGTTCAGTGATTCCAACATGGTATAGAGCAGGTCCTTCTTAGGACCGAAATTTTCTAAGGGCCCACCACTACGTAACTAACTAACTACCTACCTACCAGTGCCCTAGGGCGCCTCGGCGTGTCCCGCCCCTAGAGGCCCCTTTTGACGGCCCCGCGCTAGCCCCGTTCAGGCCCCGTCAGCCCCTTTAAGGCCCCGTTCAGGCCCCGCGCTAGCCCCGTTCAGGCCCCGTTGGCCCCCTTTCAGGCCCCGTCGGCCCCGCGCTAGCCCCTCTCAGGCCCCGTCGGCCCGCGCTAGCCCCGTCTCAGGCCCCGTCGGCCCGCGCTAGCCCCGTTTCAGGCCCCGTCGGCCCCGTTTCAGGCCCCGTCGGCCCGCGCTAGCCCCGTTTCCAGGCCCCGTCGGCCCCGTTTCAGGCCCCGTCGGCCCGCGCTAGCCCCGTTTCAGGCCCCGTCGGCCCCGAGCTAGCCCCATTCAGGCCCCGATCGGCCCGCGCTAGCCCCGTTACAGGCCCCGTCGACCCCGTTTCAGGCCCCGTCGGCCCCGCTGCTAGCCCCGTTCAGGCCCCGTCGGCCCCGTCTTAGGGCCCCGTCGGCCCCGCGCCAGCCCCGCTCGGGCCCCGATCGGCCCCGCGCTCGCCCCTCTAGGGCCCCAACCGGCCCCACGCCGACCTCGCCGACCCGTGCCCACCACCTGGAGGCCCCGGGCGACCCGTTCCCACCGTGACCCGAGCTGCGCGACCCGAGCCGCGCGCCCCGAGCCGAGCCGCGCGCCCAGAGCCGAGCCGCGCGCCCTGAGCCGAGCCGCGCCACCCAGCCGAGCCGCGCCCCGACCTGAACCGAGCCGCGCCGCCCTGCCCTACCTGGTTCGTCCTACCTGCTTCTCCTACTGCTACTGCTGCTATTTCTACTATTCCTATGGCTAGCCCACATGTTCTTGTGTTCGATGCTGAGGGCCGCCCTGTGAAGTTTGGCACCTGGCTCGATGACCTGCACCTCTACCTACAGCTCACAGCCAAGGATGACATCTCACTGTACGATCACGCACTAGGCCATATCACTGCCCCTGCTGCCACTGCTGACAGCACTGCTCGCTCCCAGTGGCAGACTCGTGATGCCCACGCTCGCTTCGCTATTCGCAACTCCCTGGCAATAGACGAACGCGAGCACTTTGGGCAGCACAAGACTGCACAGGCACTGTACACAGCCGTAGTTGCTCGCTACTCCTCACCTGCCTCTGCCGCGCTAGGCCGTCTCTCCCTCCCCTACCTGTTTCCCGACCTGTCCTCCTTTCACACAGTCGCTGACCTCATCACGCACCTCCGTATTAGTGAGGCCCGCTTCCGTGCCGCCATGCCTGTTGAGTTCCTTGCCACGCACCCCCCTCCACTCTGACTCACTCTCTACCACCTAGTCACCCGCCTCCCTGACACACTGCGTGCTGTCAGGGACCACTTCCTAGCTCGTTGCCCCATTGAGCTCACCATTGCCCTCCTCGAGAAGGAGCTACTTGCAGCTGAGACTAGTATAGTCGCTGTAGGTGCCTCTCGTGGCGACCCCCGTACCCCGTTCTTTGAGGGGTGTTCTCCTTCCCCCCTTCTTCCCTCTGTCGCCTCTGCTGCTGCTGTCGACCTTCTCGGTGCTGAGAAGGTCGGCACTGCGTCTGCCTCGAGCGGGCGCCGCATCGGCAAGGGCAAAGGGGGCAAGGGTGGTGGCGGTGACGGCGGGGGAGGCGGCAGTGGGGGTGGTGGAGGCAGTGGGGGTGGTGGCTCGGCTGGAGGGGCGAGTGGTAGCGGTGGGGGTGGTAGCGGCAGCGGCGGGGGCGGTAGCAGGAGTGGAGGCGGCGGTTGGGGTGGCGGTGGACGCGGCGCCGGCAGGGGTTGGGGCGGTCGAGGAGGTGGCAGCGGTGGTGGTTGCCGTGGAGGCGCTGGCGGTGCTCAGGGCCAGCAGCACACTCCTTCGCCCCAGGAGGTCCGTGAGTGGTACTCTCAGCACGGGGATGGGGGTGGTCTTGGCTGCACGTACGTCATTCGCACTGGTGACCGCACAGGTCAGCAGTGTGGACGACAACACGCCACACAGCGCTGCTTCTCTCGTCTCGACGACGCTTGGCGTGTTCAGTTCCCTCAGGCCACTGAGCTGCCCCGCTGGCTTGATCTCCTTAAGAAGGGGATTGATATCTATGCTCTAGATTTTGATGCTATTCTATCTGCCATGTATGTGATGTCTACTAGTGGAGAGGGTGCTGAGTACTTGTGTGTGCCGCCCAACCCGGGCATTAGGGCCAGTGCGTCTGCCGCTCCAGGTACTCGCGTGCCGGCTACCCCAGGTGCTGGTGAGGCTGCTGCTCTAGGTGCTCGTGTGTCTCCCCCCCTTGGTACTGCGTCGACTGCCGCAGTGCACACCCTTACAGTGGACTCAGGTGCTTCTCGCTGCTTCTTTCGTGACCGCACTGCCCTTGAGCCGCTTGCTCGGCCAGTTGCTGTCTCCCTTGTTGACCCCTCTGGGGGTCCGGTCATTGCGACCTCTTCGACTGTCCTTCCCTGCCCTGCGGTCCCGTCGGGCACACTGTCAGGTCTCCACCTCCTCTCGTTCTCTACGAACTTGGTGGCAGGATGTGCGCTCTAGGATGGGGGTGTTCACCAGTTCACCCCTGCCTATGAGCGCGTGACACACTGTACGTGTGCTCGTACGGGCCGTCACTTGGCTACCTTCACTCGGCAGCCGGGGTCGGACCTGTACACACTGACTACTGAGTCCCTCAGGTTTGCTGCGTCTGCGTCCGCGTGCGCTTCAGGTCAGCTGTCCGCCCCCTGCTCGTGTCGCTCTTTGACACACGAGACTGTCCTCTGGCACCACCGCCTTGGCCACCCGTCTGTGCAGCGGCTTCGTGCCATGCACTCCCGGTACCTTGTCTCTGGCCCTGCCCGAGTCCTTCCTGCCCTCCCCACCCTCGCCTGCTCCTACCTGTCTCCCCTGTGTCGAGGGACGGGCAGCGCGCTGCTCCTCACTCGTCCTCGTTCCCCCCGACGACTGCTCCCCTTGCAGACGCTCCACATGGACGTGTGGGGCCCAGCCCGCGTCCGTGGTCAGGGTCAGGAGAGGTACTTCCTGATAGTTGTTGACGACTACTCGCGTACACCTCGGTCTTCCCCTTGGCGCACCAAGGGTGAGGTCCCTGATGTGTTGATCCCTTGGATCCGCAGAGCCGTCTCCAGCTCAGCGAGCGGTTTCACTCGGACTTTCCTGTCCTACGCTTGCACTCTGACAGAGGTGGTGAGTTCTCCTCCGACCTCTTGGCAGCCTACTGTGCTGAGCACTGGCATTGAGCAGTCGTTCACATGCTTCCGGCTTCTCCACAGCAGAATGGGGTTGCGGAGCGCCGCATTGGGCCTGGTCATGGAGGTCGCCCTTACCTCCTCGATCCATGCGGCTGCCCCCACTTTCTGTGACCGTTTGCAGTCCGGTACGCTACGCATCAGCTCAACCTCTGGCCCCATGTCCTCCTTGCCGGAGACCTCGCCCACGCTGCTGTGACGGGGGAGGTTGGCGATGCGTCGCGTTTCCGGGTCTGGGGGTCTCGCAGCTTTTGTCCGCGATTCGTCTGCGGACAAGCTCTCCTCCCGTGCTGTTCCCTCCGTCTTTCTCGGCTTTGTCCCGGAAGTGTCTGGTTGGCAGTTTTACCACGCCACCTCACGACGAGTCTTGCCCTCCCAGGACGTCACTTTTGACGACGTCCGTCCCCTACTACCGCCTCTTCCCTACTGCACTGCCCCGCTCCCCCCCCCCGCCTCTCTTCCTCGTGCCAGGTGCTACTGTTGCAGACCCCCTCCCCCTCAGGTGCCACTCCCTCAGGTGTGTCTCAGGTAGACCCGGTTGAGCCTGTTGAGGCTTAGCTGTCGACTCTCGTCATGCTGGCGGTGCTGAGGCTGGGGGTTGCTGAGCCTGGGGGTGATGAGCCTGGCGGGGTGTGGAGCCTAGGGGTGCTGAGCCTGACGGTGTGGAGCTTGGGGGTGTGGAGACTGGGGGTGTCGAGCCTGGGGGTGTGGAGCTTGGGGGTGCTGAGCTTGGGGGTGTGGAGCCTCGTGGTGCTGAGCTGAAGAGTCCGGAGTCATTGGGGTTCTGGGTCTGGATGTTTTGGGCCTGGTGATTCCTGCAACCTGGAGGGGCCCTCTCCTCGGAGCAGCAGCTGCGTGCGTGGTACCTTAAGTAGTGCATCCTGTCCGGAGGGTACCGCTCGAGCCGGACGTACTGCTGGGACTTGGTGCTAGGCTTCTTCTCCCGTTAGGGAGCTCCCCCTCCCCCGAGCGGATCCGTGAGTGGTACGAGCGGCGCTGCACTCTTCGGAGTGGCGTGCCTCGTTTTGCGGACCCCGCTGCCGTTGGGAGCTGCTGCTGGTGCTGAGGACCCGGGCGTTGGAGCTGCCGCTGGTGCCTGCGGACCGGGCGTTGGAGCTGCTACTGGTGCTGAGGGACCGGGCGTTGGAGCTGCCGCTGGTGCTGCGGACCCGGGCGTTGGAGCTGCTGCTGGAGCTGCGGGACCCAGGTGTTGGAGCTGCCGCTGGTGCTGCGGACCTTGTTGCGGGGTGTCCCCTACCTGCCTCTGGTGCGCTGCACTGGTCCCAACCGTACTTCGTTCCGCTCCTTCAGCAGGTTCTTGGTCAGCTTCCCTCCTCCTTTGTCCTCCTCCCTCCTTCGCGTGTCCTCCGCTCTGTCCAGTTGCAAGTCGCAATTCACGTATGTCCTCCTCTCTTCCTGGGTCCTTCTCCTTACACTGGTCCGACTGGAGGTCTTACTGAGCGTCGTGAGCCTGAGTCTCGCCCTGTGTCACCTGATTCTCGTCCTGAGTCGCCTGTCCGCACTGCTCTCTCTAGTAGTCAGGTCCAGCGTTAGCGTCTTCCTGTGTCCCATGCACTCACCGGATGGCGCTCCGTCTGTCCACTTATCCACAGCGTGTCCCAACTGCCGTCTCCTCCTGCTTCCTCTCTTCCTGCTCTTGCTGACCCTGGTCAGACTCTCTTCATGCTACCAGTCCTACTGTCACGCGTCTCCTGGCTACTGTTGTCACTGACCCTTCCTTGAGTCTGCTGCGGCGTCTGCCTTAGTTGCTGAGCTTGTCGACTTTGCTG